GAAGAGGAGGCAGGGGGGAAGCAGGACAGCAGATGGGCGGGGGAAAGTGGGGGGGCGGGCGCGGGGGAGGGCAGGCGAAGGAGACGATATAGGAGTGACATGGATGAGACGGGGAAAGGGCCGAGGGAAGGGAGAGAAAAGGGAGGACGCGCGGAAGGAAGACACGAGAGGAAGACAGGGAGATGGGATGGGGGAGGCAGGCGAGGGCGGGAAAAAGGGGTCGAGGCAGGTTTGGCGGCACAGAGACCTTGGCGTAGGGGTCGAGCACGATCTTGGAGGCGTCAAAGCGAGGGAGGAGACGAGGGGAACACAGGGGGAATGGGGACGAGGCGGGGGGGGGGGGGGAGAGAGGCAGGGCGCGCGCAGGGAGGTCAAAACAGCGACCTTGGCGTAGGGGTCGAGCACGATCTTGGAGGCGTCGAAGCGGTGGCCCTTCTGCGGCGCGAAGGGCCCGTCGACGCGGTAGCCGTACAGCAGGTTGCGCGACAGCGCGGGTAGCATGATGTGCCACACGTCGCCCGTGCGGTTCAGAATCGGGTGCAGCGGCACCTCCGCGCTCGGCTTGCCCTGGCGGACGCGGAAGGCGGAAGCGGGGAGAGGGGAGAGAGGGGAGGAGCGGGGACGGGCGCGGGGAGGAACGGGGAAAGGGCAGGGGGAGGAGGCGCAGTGGCGGAGAGGGCAGAGGGAGGACAATGGAGGGTAAAGGAAGCGCGAAATCTGGAGGATGCCGCGTAGGTCACTCACTGAACTTTGAAAACTCGGCATGGTTCAAAGCCAAGAACTCGACACGGAATCTCTATATTCTACCTTCTGCATGGAAGATCCGACATGGAGAGTACAGGCACAATGTACCTTTGCTGAGAATAAGCGCTGCCACGGTTGAGCGTCGTGTGACGAGTCGAATTTTGAGTGGACTCAAAAGTTGGATTCTAGCTGGAAATAACCGCTGCCACGGCTGAGCGTCTGTCTGTCCTGTTCCTCTCTATTTCTTTCGCTGCATCTGCCCTTCAAACACGCAGTACCTAGAATTCAGTCTACCACTTGATTTCCACCCCACGCTCGTCAAAATCCGCCTTTGGCTTGTCACACCGCTGCCATTACAGCTCTCTTTTGAGGCGTCTCAAAAGCCTACCCCTTGAGTTTCACCACAAGCTCGTCAAAATCCGCCTTTGGCTTTTCAAAACAGCTGCCATTACGGCGCTCCGCCAATTCTACAACACCGAAGATCCGATCCATCACTACTGCCAACACCTACTGCCTGACAGCGATTCGATTTCCATGGCTCCTCCCTACCTGCGCGAGGCTTTCAGGGGTGAACAAGCAGAGCGACACGGCGGTTGCTCCCGAGGAGTGACTTTTGAGGCGCATCATAAGTCGATATATTCCCCCCATGGCTCCTCCATACCTGCGCCAGGCTCTCGGGGGTGAACAGGCAGAGCGACACGGCGGTTGCTCCCGAGGAGTGAACGGCGAAGTTCACGCCGTTGTCCACGGCCGTCGCGCCGAACGGCGTCGCGGATCCGCGCTGCGGCGTGTCGTACAGCACGCCGTGTCCGCTGCCAAAATCGCGCTCCGCCATGCGCCTCACCATCGCCGAGTCGCGCAGGAACGACGGCGGCTCGTAAAGCACCGCGCGCGGCGGCTTCACGACGCGTGGCGTGGTTACGCGTGTCCTCGGGTGAGACGAGAATGGCGACGCGAGTGCAGGGATCTTGATTTTCGAGTTTCCGGGAATCAAGGCGCCATGGGAGGCCGATGAGTCTACGAATGGCGAACGTAAAGGTATTTTAGGGAGGCAACTGGGGCCGCTCGATACAGAGACGGGGTTAACGGCAGAATTGACGGCTGAGCGACAGCCCAGCAACGGGCCGTCCATGATGGAGAGACGCGATAAGTAGTGCAATATCGCAGGATCTGGGACCCAGATTCGTCACAAGAATATATTAGAGCGGAAAACGACCGCCAGAAGCGGCGATCGCCACGATTCTCGCTGCTCCTCGCGCTTCGGCTTCACTCGGTCGTTTCTAGATAGCTCGGCTGGGCCTGTCGGCTTAGTTGACTATGGAATGCGGGGAAGACGAAATACCGCGAGGAGAGAAAGGCGAATGTGAGGAGGATTGAGCAGCGAGCGAGACTCCGAGTGGTTGACAAAACGCTGGAAGGCAGGTGAAATCGGAGCCAATGTCGCTCGCAAGCAATGCAACGGAATCTGGCGGACTGGCGCAGGGCAAGGCACTGGCAATACTGAACATCGAGGATTGCGGAGTGGAAGGAAAGGGCAGGGGGAATGCGAGGAGGCAGGTTAGTTGCTGACACAAATGTGTGGTGGAGGGGAGGGGAGGGGAGGGGGTGTGGGCGTGGATCAAGTGACAGGAATTTTGAGTGCAGGGAGAGAAGTTTTGGGCAGTAAACAGCAATATATATAGTGGCTCTGTACAGTTATTTACCATAAAGTGATGATGGAACATAACTTTTAGGAACGGGAAGCGTTTCCAAAAAATAATGTGGCTTGATCTGGATGCAACTTCGGGCCACGGGGGGAGACGCCTTTTTGGTGTGGTGGAGTTGACCTGACACGCACGCAGTGCCCAGTTGGATCTGATCCGCGCCGAGCCTGCACAAAAGCGCTCTGGTCTTGTGCTGGCCCAAATGGAGGGCCGTCGGCAAATCGGAGAGAGTGAACAATTTGAGGCGAATTTAACGGGTGTGCGACAAAGGACGACTGGTGTTATCCGACTTCGTAAGGCTTTGACGAAGATTTCTGCGATGACTGTCGTAGCTTTATCCAGATGCTGATGTCTTCGTACGTGCGTATGACTCAGCCTACACTTCATCCGCGCGAGGGAACTTGCCCCGCCAACGGGTAACCGTCGATGCGCCCCCTGTCCCGCGGTGATCCAAAGAACCATCCACAGCATGAAGACTCGAATGACCACGTCATTATCGACACAGTGCAGCAGCGCTAGGAAGAGAGCAGTCATACAGTATGCTTTTCGTGACGTGGAGAGTTTGAAAGACCAGTAGCGCGACGTACACCCTGTTTCTCAACTTTCGGACAATCGGGAGCCCGGCTACAGTGCGAACGTGTGCTTGGATTTTGCGGGCTGGTGCTTGCAACCGATCCCCAGGTAGGTGGCGGGCAAATGCAGTCCAGGAGAACGATACACAACGGTTTATGAAAGAAACAATGCTATCGCGTACGGTTGATTGCGGCGAATTGTGCTTATATGCTATGTTCTGGGACCGTTTTGGACGCGTTGATGTCAGAATAAGCGGCATGTCAATACAGCGAATGTCAGTGTGGCGCGAAACAGGGTGTACTGCCACCATAGCATGGCTTGACCAGTGAAACGAGTGGTGCGCCCGAGGGCTCGCCATGCTGGAAGCTGCCACACTCAACAACCCCAAACACCGATCGGATCAGGTCTCCCAGGAGGTGTGATGCAATTTGCGGGATTGACATCAGAGGGAGGTAACAACATGGTTCGTGAAACTTTGAGATACATGCGGTCTACACTTATACAGCACATTCACTTTGTTCATCCTGTATATCCCGAAAAGCAGCAATACCGTATTAGCTGTTAATACAGAACTGCCTTCCGCGCATCACCATGGAGCTGTGGATAACACGCAATTTATTATAAATGTTCATTTATTACGATTCTTTGTACCCTGAATAATTCGTGTACTGGCATTGTGACTTGTTGGGAAATAGTTGCACTTCATATATTTTGTGTTTCTATTTGTAAATGATTTTGTGACGCGATATGAGTGTGCTCTTAATAGCACATCCATGTTTCCGTGTCAGTGATATCACCTTTATGTTTCCTTCTGTGTATTTTGAAGTGTACCTTGCAGGTATCCTCTGTCCATTTGTCAATTGGATGCTCCACATAAACATTGATTTCCTCACACGCATTGACCTGTCTCCTAATGGGTCCCCATCGTCGCTGCGCGCTGGTAACCAATTGCATCGCAAACACACATTCGTGTGCGAGAGGGAGAGCGTCAGCCACACAATCTTTGAACAGATTGTACCTCACGGTGCCCCGAAGAGCCCCGTGATATCGTTGGGACAATTTTCACCCACAAACTTCGACAGCTGTCCAAAGAGTTCGGGTCCGCAAAGAAAGCGTTGTTGGCGGATGTTGACAGTGACACCCCGAGCCCAACTCACCCATATCCTGGCAGTGCTTTTGCGCAATGCGGAGATGGTCTGGTGAAAGCGGCAGTAACAATGCGGATATCCCCTGCAGGCGGAGGTCTGTTGTCCAGTCGATGGGGCGCAAGTTGGTTCTAGGGGGGCCGCTGTGTGTGAGTGTGTGCCTGCAAGGTGTTTCTTGCGGACATTGGTGATGAAGGCCATCAACAAGTGGAAAGACAAGAGAGGGACGGGTGGTGTTCCCAACACAGTCACGGATTCACAAGTCGAAGAAACGCTGCTCGGTACTCAGCTTGGGAGAGCTAGGCTGCTATCACGGAAGGGCCGTTGCTTGGATACGCCTAGCCGACTTGAACAGCCATTCTCGATTTGCAATTGATTCGTGATTAGCCCGGTCTTTCAGCTACCGTCTGTAAGTCCCACAAAATGGCTTCGCCAGTCGTCTCTCTCCGTTGCACTGTGGCGGGATCCGCCGCTGAAGCCCTAAAGGCAATGCCATTTCAACAAGCACCAGAGCAAAGGAGTCGACTATCGCCGCTGCCTTTTACCACGTGCTTCAAGTCTCTTCCTGCCTTGACTTCCATGCCATCCAATGCCGGACCTACCGCGCAACCAGCTACATTGCCACGTAAGGCCCTCACGAGTTATGTTTTTCCATTGGCCTACGAGAAAATTTGTCCGAGGGAATATGGACCTTAGACCCCTCTCTCGGTGACCCTTGTTTCATTGTGTCCTCACAGGAGCCGTAGCCAGTCCCGTTCGTTCAGCGTCTGAGCAACCAGGAGCCACGGATCCGATTGATACCGAACCGACTCCAATTGTCCCGACGGGGGACGCCATGGTCTCATTCCTTCGTACATATGGATCCGTGCTTGAGCGTGCCAGCAGCGGCGGCGTCGGTATCACTGGAGATAGCTTAGCAGCCGCAGGGACAATGGTTGTGGATCGCGTTCACGTGGGGCTCTTGGCCATGCTGGGCCATCCTGTGCATGTAAGCTTTGCGTTTAACGCGAAGTATCCAGGCTTGCCGGATTCCAAACTCTTGTGTCTCTCAGTTCCCGTTTCTGAGCGCAATCAGTCTTCCTCATAATCGCCTACGCAATCTTTATTCGCTTTCCGAAACCCTTTTCGTATCCTTGTGGTCTTCAGGGCATTGAAGCACAGTCGGAGTGGCGTCCCAGCGAGGCCATGGTAGAAAGATGTCTGTTGGAGCTAGAAAAGGATATTGATGGTTTCGGGGATGCTCACGCCCATCCTCCTCCACGATCGCGTGTGCGCCTTGCAGCGATCCACTGCTTTGACGCAGCTAGGTTGATTCACACCCTCTGACGTTTGCTTGCACATCGACATTTCGAGCTTCGGATTGCGCCACCTGCTTTTGAGTGATTATAAGATGAACATTACAATACACAAGTGTTGTTTGTACCAAACTTGTTCCACTTGGTAAGCACTGCCATGACAGTTGAATGCGCCTGTAGACACTAAAAATCAACGTTATATGCCAGCCAAACTAGGCTTGCGGAGCTGACAAGGTGCCAGCATGTGTGCCGTAATACATATTGACCCTGGGTGGCGGATTTTCTGCTCCATGCCAAAAATGATACGGAGAAAAATGATAGTGATGTAATCTGAAGCGCATGAAAGCAGTTTTCTGCATAAAATGCGATTGCCCGTCCAGGACACCATATAGCTGCGCAGAACACAGGCCACATTATATAGCTTTTTGAGAAAGAAAAAACAAAGGATCAAACTATAACAAGAGTACTTACCACACGCTGTTGCCACAATACGGTCCGTAGCGCACCAGAACCGGGACCCGGAACATAGACTGTCAGAGAAAAGGCTGGTGACAGTGACTAGTAAAAACATCACCGCGAGAAGAACACAGTTTTGCTTCAAGAAGGCGAACGAGACAGCCAGGTATAGAAGGCTTGAAATCGCCACAATGAAGGAACATTCGACGGACAATTGTGAATCTCCCGTCAGCATTAGCTGACAATGCTCCTGAGCCCAGCAGAGCGCGTCTACCAGCGGGGACAGGACTCGAGGAGGAACGTAGCCGACGTCGTCACGCAGATCTCGCGAGTCGCCATAAAGAAAGGTCTTCCTGTGTACGCGCACTGGTTCACAGCCTTTCCATGACTCCTTTTCTGAAAGTGCGTCGCTCACATTCTGCCTAGTCGAAGGTAAAATGAGGATAGCAGCAACTCCTGCTGCCTTGGAGAAGTCCATGGTTTCAGCTCGAAAGCTGGAGCGTCAAGCTTCTCAAGCTACGGTGAGATCAGCGAAGCTGAATCGCTCTGAAGCATCAAGCTTTCGAGGAAACGGAGGAATTCTCGACCATACCTAGGCACTGAAGACTCGTCACGGTTCCCACGGCTCCTAAAAATGGCAACACCAAGGGCGGCACTACCGAGGTTGGGCGCGAAAGGAAACCCAACCTCGAGCGTGCGGTGGGGGAGTTGGGATGGGGATGCTGATTCTGTGGTCAGTTGGACTGTGGAATATGCTAAGCAAGCGTCGTAATCTTTCACTGTAATCAATGAAGAATAGTTCCGGTTCAATGCTTCAGCATATTCCTAGTCGGCCAATAACGAACTCCACGTCTACCACAACAGCCACCACACACATAATCGGGATCTCGATCGGGCATCGGACCTTGAAAGTGTAAAAACTGTGGTCAGCCACATCCGCACTAACAAGATAGATGGTAAATATACATTGGTATTCCATTCACAATCACTGATTGCATAATATAGAGTACAATTCACTTCCAGTACATCTGATGTATATATCAGCATATTGCAACATGAAACATAACATTCGGCAGAATTGCCACAGCATTCAAGCGGGACAAGAGTCAGGATTGGGGAAAGGTCCTTCCAGACTGCTGGGCCTTCAGCAGAGCATGATATGGAGGATACATTTGCACAAAATACATGAGTGGCGGCAAGCCCGTGGCATGTCACCGTTACATTCAGATATGCCACGCACCCCGATTCCGACATGCGAAGGCCGCAAAACAACCGTTACTTTCAGATATGCAACGCACGCACCATGATTCCGACACGCGAAGGCCGCAAAACATATATGTAAAATGCTATGTCTGCATGATCCAAACCCGAAGCCGTCGCACATGGCTTGACCTATGAAAGTCTGTACCTTCCACCTACGGTATTACCTGCTGCCCTCTCTCCTCGTGCACTTGCAACCACCATCACAATTGCCCAAAGTGATTCTGGAGCTCACTGTGTCTCAGGGCTGCCATTGCCCCCATGCCATGTCAGGGCTGCCACTTCCCCCATGCCATGGCAGGGCTCCCATTGCTCCCATGACATGACAAGCGGCTCAAACATACCCACTTGTGTTTCACCCAGGGCACAAGGCGGGGCTGGGAGAGGTGCAAGTGAGAGCAGGAGAGGTGGAGAGGATGGGTGGATGGACAGGACTGCAGGCATCAGGGGGCTGCTGCCCCTTCATCATCTGCCGCCCGCCCACCATGCACAGAAGTGGACTCACCCCCTCACCACCACCAACCTCACGCTTTCAGCCCCCTTCCCTTCCACTCACCCTCCACCACCACAGGCTCTTCAACCCTCTTCTCATCCACTCACCACCCCAGGGGTTTCAGCTCTCTTCCATTCACCCACCACAAGGGTTTCAGCTGCTTCTTTACTCACTCACCCCAGGGCATTCAGCCCTGGCTCCTTCACCCACCACCTTCGTTCCCACACTACCCACCCACAAGGAAAATCACCTTTTTCTCACCACCCACTGTAACCACCCACTCTCACCACTCACTCAATCTAACAACCTCACCATACCCATTCACAACTCATTGTATCCACTCACTCTCACCACTCAGTGTCACCACACTCCTACCATTCTGGCCACCCAATCTCACCACACTCTCACCACTCAAACTCACCACTCAAACCACTCATCCTCACCACCTACTGTGCTCTCAGTCTCACCACAAAGTCAAATATTAAATCTGGGCATCTAAAACCAGCTCCTCTCATGCAACAGGTGGCATCAGTACCATACGGGTCATCATATGCCACCAACCAAGCATGAGCATCATGCTCTCATGCAACAGGTGGCATCAGTGCCACCCAAGGGGACCCAGCTCCTTTCACTTGCTCTCACCCACCCAAGGGGACTCAGCCCCTTTCAATTGCTCTCACCCACCCAAGGGGACTCAGCCCCTTTCACTTGCTCTAACCCACCCAAGGGGACTCAGCCCCTTTCACCAACTCATGAGCATCACGCTTCCATGCACGGGTGGCATCAGTGCAACTCATCATGTGCCCCCAACCAGCCAAGCATGAGCAGCATGCTTCCATGCACGGGTGGCATCAGTGCAACTCATCATGTGCCCCCAACCAGCCAAGCATGAGCATCATGCTTCCATGCTTAAGGGTGGCATCAGTGCAACTCATCATGCGCCCCCAACCAGCCAAGCATGAGCATCATGCTTCCATGCTTAAGGGTGGCATCAGTGCAACTCATCATGTGCCCCCAACCAGCCAAGCATGAGCATCATGCTTCCATGCACGGGTGGCATCAGTGCAACTCATCATGTGCCCCCAACCAACCAAGCATGAGCATCATGCTTCCATGCTTAAGGGTGGCATCAGTGCAACTCATCATGTGCCCCCAACCAGCCAAGCATGAGCATCATGCTTCCATGCTTAAGGGTGGCATCAGTGCAACTCATCATGTGCCCCCAACCAGCCAAGCATGAGCATCATGCTTCCATGCTTAAGGGTGGCATCAGTGCAACTCATCATGTGCCCCCAACCAGCCAAGCATGAGCATCATGCTTCCATGCTTAAGGGTGGCATCAGTGCAACTCATCATGTGCCCCCAACCAGCCAAGCATGAGCATCATGCTTCCATGCTTAAGGGTGGCATCAGTGCAACTCATCATGTGCCCCCAACCAGCCAAGCATGAGCATCATGCTTCCATGCTTAAGGGTGGCATCAATGCAACTCATCATGTGCACCCAACCAGCCAAGCATGAGCATCATGCTTCCATGCTTAAGGGTGGCATCAGTGCCATATGGCTCATCATATGCCACCGCCAACCCCACTGCCTCTCACCACCATCACCACACAGCCCACCCATCCCCTCCCCACCTTACCTGCCAGCAGTAGGAGCAGCAGACAGCCCACTCCCCTTCGGAAACAGCACCCCCAGGGGCTGTGCCTTGAAGGGCGAGGTGTGGTAGTGGAAAATTGCTTCCAGCCCAAGACTCAAATCCTGCCCCTGACGTAGCTAGAGCTGACGCGAACCAGAGTCGCCGGCCGGTCGACTCTGACGGTGCCCATTAAGCCTTAACGCCAGGTTAGTTACTTGAGCACCGAGTGCCGTGCCGCGCAGATTCCACCCACCACACCCCGACCCACAAGCCACGACCTCAGAGAGTGCTGCCCCTAAGGAAGTGAATTGCCCACTTGCTCCCACGCTTCCCCCCCCCCCTCCTCTCATGCCCCTTCACCCCATGCCTGCTTACCTCTACGTACCTTGCGTAGCGCCATGATGCTTCAGCCGTGTTGGAAAGTGGGGAGGGGGGGAGGGAGAGGGAAAGGGGGGAGGATGAAAGGAGAGTTGCCTCAGTTCCGCCCTTGCTCGAGTGCTCCCTCCCTTCCTCTGGCCGCAACAAGGGGTGAAGAAGGGGAGGAGGGGGGAATGAGAGGAGAGATGCCACTGTCCCGCCCATGCTCGAGTGCTCCCTCCCCCTCTCAGGCTGCAAGGGGTGGGGGGAGAGAAGAGAGGAGGGGATCAGAACTCTATACCTCACCTGTTACCTCACCTGATACCATACCACACCTCGCTCACGACTCGACCTAGTCTAGCCTGCCCTCTAGCCCTCCACCCCCCACTGCTACTGCTGCTACTGCTGCTGCTGCTGCTGCAACTGCTGCTGCCGGTCTGCTACTCAGCTTCTCTGCTTCAGTCTTCACTCGATGCCAAGTGACCTGGTAGGGGGGGAAGAAGGGGGGAAAGTGACAGTGAGTTAGTTGGCAAGACCATACAAACAAAACAAAACTGAAATTGACAGAAACGAGACAGCAGAATTGAAGAGGAGAAACAGAGAGGAATGAGGGCAGAGAGGAGAGGCTGACGTACCTTGAGGGGAAGCACCACTGCAGTCTTCACTCGATGCCAAGTGACCTGGTAAGGGGGAAGAAAGGGGAGAAGTAAGAGCAAGTGAGTCGGCATGACTAGCAAAAATACAAACTAAAGCTGAGGAAAACGAGAAGGCGGAATTGAAGAGCAGAAAGGGAGAGGGATGAGGGCAAGAGAGAGGCTGACGTACCT